TTATCATTATGGTTATAACATGTAATAAATTATTGTAGTTATAATTAACGACTTAAATAATTTGATAGTCATTTTTTTTATTGAAAATAAAAAATCTTGAATTTGAATCGCATAATATGCTAATGAAATGAAAAATGGCTACCTTCATTGTGTAAGCAAGATAAAAAATATATATATTGTAGTTATATAAAATTTTAAAATCAATAACTTGTTGGCCTAATTAAAAAATGTTTAATTTAAATTTTATAAGTAAAGAAATAAACATTGAAAGAATTTTTTTATTAAATTTAATGTAATTCGATTTTAAATTAATTAAATTTTACTATAGTTTTTAGATATAAGGAGTTAATGAAAAAATACAAATTTTTAAATTTTGTTTTATAAAATATTTAGTTGTTAAAATAACTAATAATTACAGTTATTATTAATTAATAAATAATAAAATAATTATTATAATATTAATATTTATTTTAAATTAATTTATAAATTAATATTTTTAAATATTATAATTGACTATTTGAAAAATAAAGGTTGTGTGGTCTTTTACTTTTTCTGCTTGTCCCTAGTCACTTCCAAATCTTGTACTCTAGTCAATTTTGTGTTGAATAACACGGTTATTCCGATCTTCGCAAAAGGCCGAAAAAGGAAGGTGGTATTTTTGTCTTAGAGCATGATTCGTTTGCTATCGCCAAAGTACAAAAAACCGACCTTTTGGGTTATAGAAGAACAGCATAAGGAACCACCTTGACAAGAAAATAAGAGAATTGTGAAGATGACATCTAGATAAGTTATTGATGATTCTGCCATAGCGCCATGTGAAGGAACCTCCCTAAATACAATAAACCAAACCAAATATGAACCCCACACACCCTTTTATATCCCAAACATACCTATAGGATCCAGAGTTATACAACATCCACATTGATAATGGGTTTTGTGTTTTTCTGGAAAGTGTTTTTGTGCGGATACAAAAGAAAAAGCTGGTTAAAACAGGTTTCTATGGCGTATGCCTTCTAACGCTTAAGTTAATTTGGATTCCAATGAAGTAGGTTATGGGCAAAATAAAAGAAAAAGGGAAATGAAGTTTAAAATTGAAATTTACCTTAGGATCTGCACAAGTCTCGCTTACATATAGTGTTGAGGTGATATTTAGCTGTCAGAAAGAAATTTGTTAGGATTGTACATGTGTTCGAATTAGACTTGATATTCAGATCTAACAACAATAGAAATGTGCCATGTTGGACATGTTAAACGTGCCCCACTTCTTGAGTGAAAATGGTCCCTTTGTAGGGCTTGACATGGATGCGGCTCACATCTTAATGTGGGCTTGTGTTGACTTATGGTGGGTTTTACATGTATCTTATTCTTTTTGTCCTTAGTTGCCAAGTCACAATCTTAAATAAGTAGTTTAGATCCATCAAACATCACTTACATTCCATTTTATACAGCTCAACCATTTAGGTTTTAAGTTCTTCTTTCTAAGATTACAAAAATTAAGGTTTGATTCAATTTAATTTGTTTTTTTTTTTAGGAGTTTTCCTAATCAAACTAGAGCTGATATTGAACACCTTTCAATTATGACCTAAATCTACGTGAACCACTATAATCATGATATGTGTATATCATGATATGTGTATGTTGCACATTTGATGATATCACACATCAAGTTATATATATCCATGATGGCTGCTATTCAATGTGAAGCTCTTGTCTGTGTCATACACAATGGCCTCATAATACTAAATACATGTTGTTTTAATATTTGACCCAGAAGGGGTGGCAGTGTCAGAAGGGGTGGCAGTGTGATTTTACCATGTATGAAATTCAGGTTTAAGGGAGGTGAATTTGTTAGTAGTCTTCATCAAGAGTACTCTTTATACCAGTGAAAAATCATATCCATATCACATTATTCATGCATCAGTTGACTTGGATTAAGTTGTAACTCCACAAGTTCTTGAATAAAAAATGAGCTGCAAATCTGGCTTGGCTCATTGCTGATGAGCTCAAGTTAATATTCTATTACCGTCCTTCGAATAATTCCTCATTTCCATAAATCACTGAAAAAACAATTTAACAAAACAAACATGCTGATAATAGCCCGTGGATAGCAGTATCAAACATTATCACATTATGATCTAGCTGGCTTACATTGCTGAATGGTTACTCTAAGCCATTGGCAAGCCCATGAAAATGAAGAGAGTACTTTTTCCCCCACACTACAGCTCCAACGATGGTATTTTATGACATGAAATCTGGTACTAATCATTTGCAAGCTTGTTGGCATCATGCCTCAACCTCTGAGAGGAAGGACTGAATTCCAAAAATCATGAATAGAACTCCACTTGCAAGTTCAACCTGCAACAAGATATACAATCACAACGACGGTTTCTAAAAATGGTTAACAAATTAAGATGCAAATCAAGATTAATTATAAGGTGTATAATAAGACTGATTAATAACATTCATATTGATTGTTACCACTTTCTCAGATATCCGTGATGCCAAACTCTTTCCTCCAATGACAGCAATAGTGGTACACAATATTTGTCCTCTAAAACATGAAATTGATGAAATAGGATACGTATAAAGGAATGAAATTTTTGCATGATCTACCCAAAAAAATGTAAAACATACAGACACTAGCAGAAATTTGTAGGGAAGAAATAATATTACTTCAGCAAATTCACATGGAGAAATCCATATGTATAACTTACACAATTCCACCTAGAACTACTCCAATTGGGTCCTCATCTGCAGCCAAACCTATAGTAGCAAGCTGAAGGAGCAGTAAGTTACCAAAATGATGAGTATTAGTAGTGATGGACTAGAGTCTACATAGAGAAATAAACAGAGAAACAGCCAGTTTTTATGATGATATTTACCTGACTCTTGTCACCCCATTCGCCAAAAAAAGTGAGGGAAAATGCCTGCAAGGATGGCACGGTAACAGTGCTTGAGTTAAGGAATGCTTACTAACATTTAAATTTCATGGTTGAAAATTATGACCTTCAAAAATATGGGGGAGAAAAACCCTGCAAGAAATGGCCTCCTCTGCTTTTTCACTTCATCATCAGCCTGGGAATTCAATTAACAATTGCATTAAATAGCAAAAAGGGAAAATAAACAGCCAGTTTTGATGTTGGTGCTATAGATACCTCATTACCCTCTTTGGTTTTCCCTTTCTTGGCCTTGGAATCAGCATCCTGATCATGCCATTAAGGTATAAGTCAAAAGGATGAATATATAAATCAAATTAACTTTGATGAGGTAATTATACTTACCAATTTTGCTTCAAATTCAGCTACTTCGTCCTCCCTGTTATGAAACATAATGGAATTACAGAATAGTTGAATCTTATTTTCCCGAAGCATGAACAGATATAGGAAAACAGACAAGCGAGAAAAAAGGCATTACTCTTCCTCAGTTAATGCATCCCATAAAGACCAAATCCCAAATAAAAAGAACAACCCTGTTGTTATGTGGTGCGTCCATTTGCGAGGGATCTGCATAGTTTGAATCCATACAAGATGTTTAGAGATTCTTAATTTCAGGCAACCACAATAGTTTCAAGCAAACATGAAACAGTACATAACTTATTTAGACCCTTCTCTTATATTGACTGGAAATTTAATTCTAGAACAAACTCCTACATCTTGGACTGATTTTCTTGAAACCACGTACCAGATTCGGAGCAACCCATCCAAGAGCAGCAGAAAGAACAGTCATTGTCTGAAAATCAGAAAAGATTTTCAAAAACAGTTCGTATGAGTAAAACCTGAATAAAGAGGGGGCAGATAAATGGAAAATACTTACAATTACAGCCGTCAGGCAACCGGACAAGACAAGTTTCCTTGGATGACGCATTGCCAGAATCTTTAAACAATCAAACAATTGCAGATGTAGAAAAGTTCAGTTTTCAGTTGTTCACTTTGAAGTGCAGTCATAGGTTTGATTCAGAACAATCTAAGTAACATGATATTCTTTCACTAACCGCAGCAGCAATAAACGAGTTATCTCCAATCTCCGATACCATGGTCAAAGCAAGCGATTTACCAAAGCCCTTGAAAAACCCAAATGACAACAAAAGAAGAAGATCAATACAGATAAAAAAATTAGGCAATGAAATAATATATTTGGTAATACTATATTTAGCATTACCTGTGCAAGCGAGGTCATGGTTGCTGAGAAAGACAAAACGCTAAGAACAGGCAACAAAGAGTTTGATCTCAGAACACAGAGAAGTGATTATCATGGTATTCTGCCTAACTTGTTTTTTATAAGTGAGGAGGAAAATTTTGAAAATGGTGATTCAATAGGAGACTAGAAGGAAGTGTTTGAAAAAATGCCTCAAAGAAAGTGTTTGAAAAAATGCCTCAAAGAAAGTGTTTGTGGCATTGTAGCGAGGACGAAGGGAACTGAGGGAGATGTTATTATATCATGTGGGTGAGAATTGACCGACAAAAGCCATTTAAATTTAGTTTATCCCACGAAACAAAACAAGAGCAAAATCAAAATCTTAGGATTTGAGAAACTGCTAGCACATGTATACTAGATTATTGTCCAATCACCGGTTGACATGAATGGAATCCCAGCTCCACTTGTTTCTATTTAATCCATCTTTTTCCCTCCCTCCCTCTCTCATCTGGTCTCATCAGCTTCGAGGATCAGAATAGCAACAATTCAACAAATTAATACCAATGTACTATGAATCAAAGCAAACAAACATAAGCACCTGATCTCGAAGGATCATTGTGGTGGAGTTTTTTTCATCTTCACGAGTTGTACGTATTCGAAACATTTTCAAAAAAGTAACAGAGTGTCTCCAACACAAGAAATATTTTGTTATTGATTGAATTCGGCTTAGCCACTGTCCACCGCCAGTATTAATATGACCCACCAAAAGATTGATTGACACCTAACAAGTTTTCAATAACAAAAGCTAACTTGGCTAGTAGAGGAGTAATCAATGACAATAGGGAGACTAAGTGCAGCTCGTGCTAACACAGGAAGAGTCAACAAATCATCTATTTTTTGAATGTTTTTCTTCTTGGAAGTTATGGGCTTCATGTTTATCCTGGTGGAGTGTCCATTCGGTCGGTCCTGTGGATGTTCAAATGAACTTTAAGCAACACATCGGACTGTTTCGTAAAATGGACCTAAAAGAAGCATGGCAGGTGTATGGTTTGCAACTATTTGGACTTTATGGATGTGGAGAAACAAGAAAGTTTTTGGAAGTGAGCAAGACAATGAAGAGGAGGTGCTGGAGCTCATTGAGTATAGATCCTTTTATTGGGTAAGGGAAAATTTGTTTTCAGACTTGCAATTGGAATCTTGGAAGGCTGATCCCAAAGAGGCACTAAGACAGAGGGCAAAGAATCAGTTGAAGTATGGCACTTGAGTGGTACTCTTTTCCGTGCCATAA